ATACAAGGAACATTTCAAGCGTACCAAATCGGTGAAGATCGCGCGGCCTGTTGCGGTATAACTACAGGTTGGAGTCAAAAATCAAATCAAAGTTGAACGAACTCATTCCTTTAACCCTGCACTTTCCAAGTGTCGTGTATTCTTTTCGTAAGCCACACACTACTCCTACACCATACCAGGTCGATCGGCTAAGCTTCTCTATCTGCAAAGACTCTTGAGAACCTACTGTTGCCGGACGGCCACGATCCTCTTCAGTGCCGTAGCCAGACCAAACGACCAACCGAGGCAGGCGGGAGTTGCTAGGGGGGTTCGGGGGCATGCCCCCCGAGAAATTTTGAACTTTAGTCTCTCGGAAATGCGATTTGCAGCGTTTTCTGGGCCTTTGGGTAACTTTTTTTCGAGTTAATTTAAGTGGAATTTAAAAAGCAATAATCAGAAACAAGCTACATAATCTGGGTGACCGTTAACCTCGCCAATGGTTTTGATCAGTATTTGTTCAAAAAAATTTGAGTTAACGTACGTAGCCCCTTGAGATCGATGATATGGTAATTTTTTCATAGTATATTGACTGAATTGCTGAATTTTTTGTAATATCATGATGCGTTAAAAATATCCGATGATCGCTTATGTAAAATAAAAATGATCGGCGAAATTCGTCAAAATTTTACCGAGGCGAGTGCCTCGGTTGGCCTCATACTAGCTGCGGCGCTGCTCTTCTGAACCTCCATGATCAAAACATTATTTTTTGCGTCTTCTTAAAACGTAACCAGTCAAACAAAACAACCACACGTTAATCACCACTACCGAAGTATAACTAGGCCAGCTAAAGCGATGGATATCGGAATAAAACGAAGGATTTTCAATGATTGTACCGGTAATGGCGATTTCGAATTTAGTGTTGACCCAACAAATTTATTCTGAAGAGACAAACGGCACGCATGCGCATAACCGTTATCGCGGCACTTTAATAGTAATTAAATAAACCAAAAGAGGTTTTTCAAAGGAACGAAAATGCTTACTAACAAAAACCGGGAGAAAGAACCTTTAAATCATTTCTTAAAATGGATCCAAAGTATAGCACGGGGCCATATTGGCTATTTATCTCATAAGGATATATTATTATTTAGCCAAGACATTTCTCTGTTTCTGATTGACTTTAAATCCCACGACTACTTCTTCATAACCCGCTAGCGCTGAACAAATTTGGCAGATGCTTAGATTATACCATCATTGACGTAAGTTTCTCTGACGTCAATAAATGAGTATGCGATAGAGCATTGACGTCGCAAAAGACAGCGGAGCGGGAGCTTAGCTGTCGTTAGTGTAGAACTCTAGATAGCGAAAGAGTTCACGGATATGCAAAGAAAAAATAGCAGAATTACTTGCTAACTCACGATAAACCGCTTTTTGAGGAATATCTGCAGAATATAAAAACATTCGTTCACACTTTGAACGTACCACGGAACAGGCACAAATTTTGAAGAAACTATAGCTGGATGTGATGAAAAGTTCGGGTGCAAGACCACTGCAAAAAACCCTGTAGGATCAAACTTGCTCTCAACGTTGGATCAAAAAAGATCTCGATAAGTCAAATTTAATAAATTATTGTCAAAGAGACAACTGCAAGGAATGATTAAACAACGTGAAAAGACTAGAGTTGCGATATTTAGACTGGCGAATACCAGTCTTCATCAAGTTTATTACGAAGATCACGAAATTACAGAAATATCTCTCAAGATATGCAGTACTACAATGGGAGATGATGGAGGTAATGATGTTAATGCATGGATCAATTTTCCTGCTATCACTAATCCTCCTCCCCTCCCACCCCTCCGACATATCCTGGGACATTTCCAACCCTTTAGGGCTGGGGCTGGGGAATTCTTTTGAGGCGGCCCTGGCCGAGGGTAGGGGGTAGAGTAGGAGGTAGAGTAGGTGGTAAATAACTACTCTTTGTTCGTGTGAAGTTCATAATTTCTTTGTTGACATGGTGGCGCCAGACCGCTTGGAGAAGGCTTTCAAGACTGTTGAAACATGGAGAAATATAAGAAAACATCGTAACATTATAATTGCCAATGAGCAGCCTCGCAAAGACGCGAGGCTGCGAGACGGCAGCCTAATAGAGCCGTGCGCGATTATTGCACACGCCTCGGCAGTAGAGGGTCTTTGAGACACGGGTTTACCCCGTTCATTGACCCGACTGCTATGCTATGCTGGTGAGTTCCGATAAATGTCAGTGGCTGCCACTGCCCGCGTGATATAGCTGTGCGCATGCGTGGGTTAGTGTAAATTTGCCCCTTGCTTACACTACTTCCAAGGTAATTTTCGCTTATGCAATCGAATTAAGTTCAATCTTTTATTCAAAAATTACTGTAATTCATGACACTTCTAAACAAATTAAACAGCGCTTGCATATAGGTAAAATCTTTGCTCGGTTGGCACTTAGCAATACACAGGAAAACAGACGAAAACAGACAAAAACATAGGAAAACATGGGAAAACATAGCAAAACAGGAGAAAACAGGGAAAAACATGGGAAAACATTGCCTGCGTGCAGACGTCTCCTGTTTCCTTTGTTGTACGTGGAAAAGGGACCGCATGCAACAAAGGAAATAGGAGATGTCTGCTTGCAAGCAAGGGAAAACATGGCAAATAAAGGGGGAAACAGGGAAAAACATGGGGAAAAGAGGGAAAAACAGGGGTAAAGACTGGAAAACTTAGGAAAACAGGGGAAAGCATAGGAACAAGAGAAAAACATAGGAAAACATGGGAAAATATAGGAAAACGGGAAAGTATAGGAAAACAGAGGAAAACATAAGAAAACAGGAGAAAACAAGGGAAAACATAAGAAAACTTAGGAAAACAGGGGGAAATATAGGAAAACATGGAAAATCACAGGAAAGCAGAGAAAAACATGGGAAAACATAGGAAAACGTGGGAAAACATAGAAAAACATGGGAAAAAAGGGAAAAACATGGCAAAATAGGGTAAAACATTGGAAATCAGAGGAAAACGGGAAAACAGGGGGAAACATAGGAAAACAGGAGGAACACATAGGAAAACATGGGAAAACACAGGAAAACAGGAGAAAACATAGGAAATATATAAAATATCAGCAAGTCCACAGCAACAACCCAATGAGTGGTGCCGGATCTCCCAGTTGCAGAGCTGGATCAGTACAATTAAACTTGTAGAAAAATATGAAACGGAACGGCAAACTGATCCTTACGGCAAGGATCATCGCCTTGCAGTAAGGATCAGTTTGCCATTTCATAGCGGAGCACCATGGGTAAGAAAATGTGGTAATCTACCCATCGAAGAAATTTTGGTAATCACGTGACCGTGCGTCCACCCGTCCATCCGTACCACAGGCCTACCAATGTAGAATAACTCAATCAACAGGTATGACAACCCAGATGCAACTCAAGGTTCTATTTGGAAGGAAATCGCATGGACAAACGGACTCATTAGAGAGGAAAAAACAACAACAAAGTCGCGTCTTTTTCGACGTTATTTTTGATGTTTACACTCACGTGGATAACAGAGAAAGAGCTAGAGCGAGTGATTGGAAACAAAGGAAATGAATTTCGTTGGAAGAAAAACATGAAAAGTTCATAGCGGCGGTGAGAAAATGAGAAATGCTAGCGGCCAGCAGGGTGAAAATGAGCGGCAGTGAAAAAATAAAAGCGAAAATGAACACAGGAAACAAAAATCTTTGCTAAGCACACACGACAATTCCTCCATAAAAATAATGTGTAACTAGGAAGTTTGACGTTTTAGGGCCTGTTTACATATGGAGGTGGCTGGCCCCAGGTAGGTCAGAGGTAACCCGCTTAAGTGTGGTAACCTGCCAGTCCATAGAATCTCTTATTTTATTTTCATTACGTTTACATGATAGGTGGGGTGACCATATGAGAGATTATATGGACTGGCGAGTTACCCCACCTAAGCTGATTACCTCACCTACCTGGGGTCCCCCACCTCTCATGTAAACAGGCCCTTGGTTGTACAAAACGGCATTGTAGTCGTGCAAAATAACGGCAAAGAAAGACAAAAAGCGTGCTCCACTTTCAATTTTTTTTCTAATTAGAAAAAAGTGCGCTGCACGTGCAAATTTGTTTTTTTGCTAATTAGATCTATTGATCTTGATGCCATTTTCCTGGCCGTCCCCGTTTAACATTATTATTAACCAGAGCTTCGCTTTTAGCCCTGGCTCTGAATCTACATATAATTTTTTGAAACAAAGGAAAGCATTGAAAAACATGGGAAACAGGGAAAAACATAGGAAAACAGGGGGACAACATAGGAAAACATGGGAACACATAGGAAAACAGGGAAAACCAGGGGAAAACAGGAGGAAACAGGGAAAAACATGGGAAAAATAGCGCAAAACAGGGAAAAACAGGGGAAAACAGGAGAAAACGCTGGAAAACATAAGAAAATAGGGAAAAATATAGCAGAACATTGGAAAACAGAGAAAAACATAGGAAAACAAGGGAAAACATATGAAAATCACTGGGAAACATGGGAAAACAAGGGTAAACGATGGGAAAACAAGGGTAAACATAGGAAAACAAGAGGAAACATGAAATCGCCGTGAAATCTTTAGAGGCAACCGTGGATAAACGGTTACAAAGCTTGAAGCTCATGTGAGAGCCATTTATCTCGGGTTAAATCCACAAGGTAGAATTATCACTATAGTATTTTCTATCATTTTATGCGTTAAAGTCTCACAGACTGAGGTTGGATTAAGCATTGAAGCTATCAGTGTTTCAAATTCGAGAACGAATGAAACATGGAAGTTTAGCATTTTATAGCATTAAAGACGCGGCACGCGTCCGTGCATGGCCTTGAGGAAGAGCAACACAGCGTCTCCTTGCTACTTTTTGGCCTACTTCCATGTCTAACTCATGAAAATATTTAAAGTGGAAAGCTTCGATATTTGATCTATAAGTATTTCACTGAAAAGTCGCTCAAACGGTTTTAATTTCTTTTGCACAGGCACACCATCGTCTTGCAGAGAAATTTACCTCAAACACAAGTAAGTAAGTATAGTACACAACTTGACAAGACATTTCTAGGCTAGCGCTTATTTAAGAAAAACTAAACTAAAAAGGTCGGGAAAATGCGAAAAGATTCGAGTCCTTGTACTTTGGCGTTTGTGTTTGTACAAAAAATAAAAAGAATATAATTGGTTCAGTTTAAAATATAAAATAATTTTGAAAGGTTTTTACTAATACAACGACACTCCACCTCAAACATTTTATAACACGTATGACCAAGGCTAACTGAAAATATCAAAATCCAGGTATTGCTTTTTGTAAAAATAGGCTTCTTTGATTAATTTAAGAAAAATTAAGTCCTTTGGGTAAAAAAACAAATAAAGTAAATGAAAGGAAGTTTAAACTTGAAAATGCGAATATGCGCCGTTTTTGGTATATGTAGATGAAAAAGATGAAAAAGGCGTAAAACAAGACAAATTCATGTGTCTGTTGCGACGTAGTAAAACGAAATTTTGAGCATGTAGGTTTCTTTCCTTAATAATTATTTTGGGAGAGGTCAGATTCGTGTTTTATTGATTGACTTTTCTGCCACCGTAAGACTGCTCTTAGGACTTTGGACTTATCATGACTCATCACTTCATCAGGTCTCAAGTAAACAAAGCCTACTTTCTCCAAATTGGCTCTCGAAAAATCCCTGTGTACTGTCACATGAGTAACTATGGTATCGGAGCATGTGGGGGCGGAGGATGGACAATGGTTATGAAAATCGACGGACAGAAGGTAGAACACGATTATGATTAACATTATGTTTTACCAAGGTTGCAAGAAAATAGGATAAAAAATGATGGCGATGATGATTTGGCACATCCTGCAGTATGGTCTGGTTGAACAAATATTTCCCGCCTTGATATCATTTTACTCAGTGCAAGTATAAAAGAGTCGTGTCAATTAAATGTAGCCTGCGGACGAAGAGGTTTATTTTGGTCGACACTTCTGGATCCACCCGAAACGTTACTTCGATCTCGGGTAGAGAGAAACAACGACCAGAAATACGTCTGCGTATTATTTTGGCAGCCCCGCTAAGTTAAATTCCTCGTTTCTTTTTAACTCATTTATTTATTCATTCATTTTTTGTAGTCAACCTTTCACTACGACTCAAAATTTTGGACCAACAAAAACGAGTTCAATCTTCCAGGAGGGAGGACGGGATTGGACCATGAAGAGACCAAGTTGCCTACCTATTGGAATCTTCCCTTCTCCCAAATCTGTCTCATGATGAAAATGGGACGACAGATCAAATCCTTTGTCTTGAACAAGCATGCCAATTCCTTGTACTCTCTCATCGCAGACAATCGCTACAGGAGTACATCTCTCGGTCGTAATAAGTGGAAGACGTTGATTGGCTCGCAAGCTTCTCTCCAGTCCTTCTGTAACAAAGAAGGATTCAATGTGGTTAGTGTCAAGCAACTGCAGTCCAAGGCAAGAATCGGTATCATTAGCAACCAGGAAAAAGACTGCAACACATGCGACTCTAGAATTGGATTCGGTACTGGAGGTCTCCACGATGACTCCAACTCGTGTGGCAATCAAGCTACACACTCGCCAGATAATGGTAACAAGCATATTAAGACCATGGGATATATATTGGTCAAATAGAAGAGAAAACCGTGCCAGGCATGCATTGTAACAGAAAAGAAACTACAGATTTTAGGCAGTTTAAAAACAGGGAGAAATTCAAGCCTCCTTTTGTTTCTTGTTTGTTGTAGTAAAGAAAAATAAAACTTGGTGACGGGAACTTGTGTCATTTTTTATGTACTTGAGTCGCTATACAAAGGAGAATAATAACCCTTAAGCCACATGGATACCAATATGATAACCAAAGGTGTGTCAGACGACCACTATTTAGTACTTAGGATGGGGCAGGAGGGAGGGTATAAGGAGCCATTCTGTACCCCCTATACCGCATTAGTAAAATGCAGCTAGTGGTCTATTATCTATGCTGCCTTCTGATTGGTTGAGCTACTACTAGGCTTTATGTTATAGCCCACTAGTAGCGAAAAGCACGGGCTTTTTCGCGGCAAAAAAGGATTAAAGTCTATAGCTTTAACTAGCTAAAATTTTTTTATTCTCGATATTTTTGACCAACTAGTTGGATTTTACAAAAATAATTATTCCTCTAGCCCTCATGGCCTCTGAGTCAATAGCCCATTCGACCTTCGGCCTCATGGGCTATTGACTCAGAGCCCATTCCGGCTCGAGGAATAATTGTTAAATACTCTTTAAACCTACGTCTGGGTTGTTCTTCACTGCATGTAAGCCTGAATTTGGCATTACGCTCTATTTTTTTTATTTAAGGATGTTGTTTCTCTCCCACCCCCCCCCCCGACCCCAGGCTGAATAATCTTATTTTTCAGTCGATTTAAGGCTTAAACGATTATTGTATTATTCTTAAATTAAAGCTTAGGACATTCACTGTCCATAAGTATTACACGTACCCTTCAGCGATCTGTTATTAGTATTTAACATTTCGATCTAGTTAGTGCTGTGTTTTTTCGTCTTGTTGGCTAGTTTTGCCTTTTAGAGAAAGGAATAATTTTATCAGTTAAGTTAAAAACATAAATTAATTGTATCTTACTAACCGGATTTTCAACACAAAAAATTATATCCTTTTCAAAATCTCAGCCTTGGGTTTAATCTTAAGTTACTCTTAAAATTTTGCAAATTTCAGCCTCATTATTCTTATAAAATGTATTCTTATAGAAAAAAAAAAGAGTGTATGTCTTATTCTTTGCATGAAGTGCACTTACCGTGTACGGACATTCGCGAGAAGCTGATGTTGCAGTGTAAATCGTGCAAAAGAACCAAAAAACAAACGATTTTGCAAAAGTCGAATTTATATGAAGCACCACTATGGTGGCCTAGGAGTGCCATAAGAAAATTGTGTGGTATCTTGTAAGTTCCCCGTAATTTATTATGTTATTTCATTTTATTTTTAAACTTTAAACGAAAAAAAATTATTATCGAGATACTTTAAATCAAATTTAAACGAAAAAAATAGAAAGTGAAGTAAAATAATTTTAAGCAAAAGTAAAATGAAACGAAAATAATATTTCCTTGGCCTATCGATGCCAGAGCCCACAATGCACTTGGGTATTGACGTTTCCCATAGAAGATGGCGGCAAATCAAATCAGGAATGCTGACTGGATGCAAGATCAAACGCAAACGCTTCTTTGTATTTCTTTAATACATAATCTCCTTTAGGAAGGCCTGATAGAGCCTTGGCCATATATGCCTCTCTAAATGCACCTTCTGAAAACGACTTACGATGCAGCGAAAGTGTGACCGGAAAAGGATCTAACCACTTCAATTCATTGACGGCAAATTCTTCTAGATGAAGCGTGACAACATTTGTTTCTGGTTCTATAAGCTGGCCCACTTTCAACATTTGACTAAGAGAGACAGAACGCGGTATTACAGACGATTTTGTGACAGCTGTCGCCGCACTATCGCACTTTCGTGGGCTAACTAGCTCACTTTTATGTAATGGCCGGACGAAGACTGGCTCCTCGGCTTTTTGCGACTTTTCATATTCCAGAAATCTGATATGAATGACCTTCGACCAGTCTTTGATCTGACTTTCATGCGTGTAAGAGGGCCCGCGTTCGCCCGCGAGAACATCACATTCGCAATTTGTTCCAAAATGCGACTTACAGGCATCTTTGATATTCTTGAAAGTTGGTTCTTTGTCGAACGGCACGAGGGTTAAAGGGCCAATGCGGTTGTACTTTTGGCACTTGCCTTGAACGTTTGCCGATAGTCTCTGCACAGTCAAGAAGCCTTCAGATGCACTGGGGCTAGCTTTATCGCTCTTTGCACCTACCCGTCTCTTTCCTTGGCGCCCCCTGTAGTCGTCCCATTGCTTACGTTTACCCGACATGATTGAAACAGAGAAATCATACAAACATCGCTTAGGAGCCACGCAAAAGATCAGCGAAGTGCATTGTGGGCTCTGGCATCGATAGGCCATGAACAACATATTTTTTTTTTTTTAGCAAAACCTTATGGCACTGCTAGGCCAAGGAAATATTATTTTCGTTTCATTTTACTTTTGCTTAAAAATTATTTTACTTTACTTTCTATTTTTTTCGTTTAAATTTGATTTAAAGTATCTCGATAATATTTTTTTTTCGTTTAAAGTTTAAA